AAATAAAGAGAAAGTGAAAGGAATCAGACTATCACAGTCAGTCAAGAAGATGGCTAGCTGAAAACACAAAGCTAGATACACAACTACTGGTATACTTGTATGTTCTAGATTAGAAAGTATCTAAAACTATATAGCCTAGAATCATCATCGTAAGTACATCTTAATCACAGGAACAAATGGGTGGTCTAATGAACATAAAATTTGTACTAATCTAGACATGTTTTAGCTGACTGTTTTTAAAATGCAGACACTGATTTTTGTGGTGTATTTAAATTGGCACATTAGCCATGTCAGTTACAAAGATTGGCCCACATTTTCCATATTCAGACCCTATGGTAAACTGCCCAGAGCTCTGCCAATCTTTTGCTACTAAGTAGTGATGGATTCCTCAAGTTCTCATGCTCCCACACCTTGAATCAAAGACGTGTAATGTGGAGAGTTGCACCTTAGCTGCAGCAATAGATGCAGGTACAGATATTTCAGGAAGACCTGCAACAGCTCTTCAATTAAATCCCCAGGGATGCCATCAGCACACTCAGAGCTGACCAGAACCTCTGAAATCTCAGCTCTGGAAACATCCTCCAATGGCCACTAGGAATGATAGCAAAAATCTCTCTTTTGTGCCATTAATACACAGAAACTTGTGCTCTTTTGTGTTATATATCTGTGACCAACAAACTTAATGGCATCGGGACAGGAAATGTGTGCAACCCTTGCCGCAGACCATGGCACAGCTTTGGCCTGGGCCAGGTGGTGCTCCACTGAACAATTTCTGGCACAGCCTGAGAACTAGTACCATTTAGGGACCATTCGTAGTTGGCAGTCTGGAAGTGCTGACCTTGTTTGGGAGGGTAAGAATTTGATTTTATGGCTGCAAGCTTTTCACAGCAATTGGCCTTAGTGTGTGAGAGGGAAAGAGGTACTGAGACTGGGAACACTTTAAAGGAGTGATATAGCAGCTGTAGGAGTGCAAAGACTATTCAGACCCGCATTCTCATATCTAAAATTAATGTGAGAGCTGAAGAGATAGTAATTGATGAAGAAATGCATGCTGTGGGAGGGGTGCTGAGAAGGGAGAATGAGATGGGCTTTCAAGATGAAGCAGTTCTGAGGTAAGCCAGTTGTGTAAGATACTTATTTGTGGAAATCCCATTTCATTTGCTGCAAAAGTTGGAAGGTGTGTGAGAGACAAGCAAGACATCATAAAACCAAAAGAGACAAGATAACAGCTGTGGAGAACTAGATTGTCTTTCTGTGAATGAGAGTGCCTAAGTGATGCAAACACTTAATTTTCCAGTCATCTTGATAATCTAGACTCTCATTTCCAGGACTTGAATTAAAAACTGTTGTAAAATAACAGTTAGCAGCTCAATTTCTGACTGCTACAGGCAGTCATCTCATGAAGCCTACAGCTAGCCACGTAGTCTCGTGTAAAGAATCCCCTCAAATACCACATTTTTATGCATGCAATTCAATTGAGGTACAATAGAAATATGCATGGGAATCTGACACCAGTGTGCCCTCACTGTATTTTTTATGCATGCTACAGATCAGTGACTACAGTTTTCTAGTGCTATATTTTCACAACTCCTAAAATACTAAATATTTATTTTAAATTGGGCTTAGCATTTTGAAAACTATTTTATACTAATTTGTTCTATAAACACCTGAAAATCTTTTTTAAAAGCCTTCTTACATTTCCAGCATTTGGAAGTAATTTGTTTCTAGTCCAAAAAAATGAATGTCTGTGTCTAACAGAAAGAGCTGGATTACTGCCCAGTCCACTTCAGAACTGGATGATGCTGACTCTTAGCCATTTAAATAGTCAAGTTAAACAAGGCACAGTTGGGATGATAAAAGGAGGTCTGTAAAAAGACTATTGCTTTGGCCATGTGGACTTACAACTATCAAACAAAGACTGGGAAAATAGTGGAAGAGAGGGAAAAAATTAACATAACTGGTGGGGAAAATGTTAGGATTAGGTGAATGTAGAAGCACAGTATCTGTTCACACCATTCTCCCTTCCTTTCAGCATGCTGCCAGCACCATATTTACTCTGCTTAAGCACTGGCAGAGGAAAGAATGGCAAAAAAGCATTTGCAAAGAACAAAGGAGAGGGGAGGTAGACACTAATAGTCTGTATAGAGATTATCCTCCAATGTATGCCTTCTTTGCAAGCACAACTTTGCAAGCCTCTTATTAGCAGGCAAAAGGTGAAATATGACAGAATTGTCTTCTTTTAGTCTATTAATTCCTTTCCCTTTTACAAGGGAAATATATAGTTCTAGATATAACAGCTAAAGAATGATGCAGCAGAAGAGAATCTGACCAAGACTGAAGAATCATTTAAAGTAAATTCTCTGAATCTCTTTATTTTTGCATGGGAAGAAGTGCATTCACAAGAGGATAAAGATGCACAATAATGAAAGCAATTCTAGAATGCCTTTAGGTATTGGTCAACCAAATCAGTATGGCCTTAATGTTTCTACATTTAATGAATCAGAAAATAAACAATGAAGCTGAAATTGGAATGTGCCACTGGCACTGAAGAATCAAATGTGCAAATTTATATTCCCACTTATAGCATCGGAAACACAGAATGGAAAATTCAAAATTTGATTAGGAAAGCTACAATAAAACAGCATCCCAAGAAAAATGTGTAGGTTTGCAAGGAGGATGAAAGCACAGAAAAAAGAGAAAAGGACACAGAATATTTGGGCCAAATTCATCCTTTCTATAAATACACAGCTTCAATGTTATTAGTATAGAAAGTATTTTTGGATTTAAGATAGAAAATTAAACCACTTTAGGTTTTATTTCTCTAGTTGCTGCATTGATTTCTGCATCCATATTCCATTTAGACCTAGGGTGACACACCTATATGAACTTGCAGAGATGTAAAGAAAAATTAATTGATTATTTTATGGTTTAAAAATGTTTTTAAACATTTTCAAGTTTGATTATAAACCAAGGGGAAGTTGTGTCTACTGCTGCAAGACAGCTCTAGTGAGGGAATTTGGAGCGGAAAATAGTCTCTAACTGATGAAGGATTTCTTAGTCTGATTAGTATCCTGAAACAGACTTGGTGCTGGGGTTTGTTGGTTCAGCAACTAGGGTTAAAAGCTTAAGAAATTCAGTCATCATATTAGAACAATGTAGATTTCTATTATGTGTTAATCATTTACAATGAACTAAGTTTCATTTAAATAGAAAACAAAACCCATAAAAAAAAACCAGGCTACTTACTGGTATACGTATGTAAATATGTGCATGCAAATATACTATTTCAGTATACAGTAACAAATATATTTCCTTTCCTATCCTAAAAAGTTCAAAAAAATAAAAATCTTGAAACAAAGTCTGCTCTTTAAACTCTTTCTCTAGTAATATTTTAACAGTTGTAATACTGGCAATGAGGAATTTATTTGTGAACTATCAGGCTACCAAGGTTTTCTGAAGCATGAGGAGAAAGGTCAGAAACTTTCATGTCCTCAGAAACTGCATAGTATGCATATCCTGCAAAAAGCAGCAGAAAGCAATACAATTAGGTTTGCTACTTCTCTTGTACTGATCTGAAAAAAAGAACATGAATGGTACTGCCTGTTCATTTGTTTGCTTGCTTATTTTGCTAAAATTACAGGCAACAACATAAAACCAGTACCTATTAAAAAAAACAAAAACAAAAACAAAAAACAAAACAAAAGAAAACAAAAAAAAACAGAACAGAGAAAATACTGGAAAACATCTGTCAGATTTTCAGTATGAATGCCTATGTTTTCATTTTCTTCCCATATGTAGGTCTAATTTATTCATTTGTGAAGTATGCTTTTTCACTTACAGAAGTAACTAGCTGCTCATAGCAGCAATATTATTTGATAAAACTCAAGTGTTTTTCTACTTTCCTAAAGCACACACCTTCTTTTTAAGTTTTCTTCACAGAAACCTTGCAGTCCAGTACCTTTTCAAAATTCACCTGACATTTTACCCCCAATTTATCTTCTTTCAAACACACAATTTTAACCACCTCTGTCTTGTTATCTTTCAATCTTAAATAATTTTATCCATGCTTTTCTTTCCTACTTCAGCTCAGACATCAGTGTCCCTACCCATGCCAGGGAGGTTAGAACTAGGTGATCTTAAGGTCCTTTCCAACCCTAACTATTCTGATTCTGAGATTTTATGATCTCATCTTTTTACTTACTAGATTTATGTAAGTGCTATGTTGGCTCTGTGAGGAAAAGGGGAATATAAGGAAACAGAAACAAAAAAGCAAACTGATGTTTTCTAAGGAATTTTATGTTATTGTTATCAGCTCTTAGTTTTATAACAATTCAGAAGTATTGTTTACACTTTCAAAACTAGAAAATACCTGGTAAGTACCTAGGATGAATCAGTTCCTAGAGAAATCCAAAAGTAGAAAGTTCTGGGAAGAACCTTATTTGAAAAGACAGGCATGTTATAATAAATAATCTCTTGCTTTACCTAAAATTATATGTATTACCAAACTTCTTTTTGTAGAATACTACACAGATTTAGTATCACATGTAGTGCTAGCTATCCTGTTTCTTACAATGGAAATCTAAAATTTGAAAAGTTTAATCCATACAAGTTAGAGCAATTGCCCTTACCATGAGCATGATGGTATTACAAATTACTAATTTAAGCAGAAAACCCTGGGACCCACAGGCCAATACTTCTACAACCCTACTGATGGATGCTTTCCAGCTTGAAGAAATTCTGTTTCATAACTCCATTTGTTTCCTGCCATTTAGCCAACTTTCCACTTATTACATGCCTCCACGCCTTAATATTAACTTCCAGTGCAGAATATTGTAAATTGTTTTCTGAAAAATCAAAGCATATGATGGCCACTGTATATCCTTTGTCTTCTTTGGCAGTGACTGCCTCAAAGAATTCCAGCAAAATACTGAAGCATGACCAGCCCTTCCTGAATCCTGTACAGCTACTCTGTCAAGCTGTTTTTTCTAATGTTTCCCTATCTGAACCTTGAAATTAGTTTCTGGAGATCTCTGTTAAGTCTTCTTCAGTTTCCTAGGAGATCTTTTTAAACAGCAGAGGAAAGTAAACATGTGAGGTCTGCTAAAACCTTTCAATTTCTATGCATTCCTCAGAATAGGAATTCAAAATTATTAACTTTTTTTCAGGATCCCAATATATAGTGCTTCATAGGGCAAGTCTTTCCTACCCTCAGACTGTGCTACATAACTTCATCAGCATGCCAGGCTGTGCAGGGGAAATAGACTGTTGCAGAACTCAGATAATTTGATTGGGCATGTATGTGTTTTGACCACTTGCCCACTCATATACCTTAGTTTTTTTTTAATCTCAAAATTACATTCTATTTGAAACTTAAAATCTATTCAGTTTCTAAACTTCAATTTCAAAAATAAAGATTAAATCCAGACTTCATAAATATAATTTGTACTTTTCCTATATTCTTCCTCAGTAGATTTCATTAGCCTTTCACAAACTCAAAGAGATTAGTCATATTCCTGTTTTACAAATAAAAAGTCGAAGAAAAGTGATGTACACAGTGACATGCCAAATAGGGAAAAGACAAGCCAAGATATTATGGTTCCTGCCTCCTATACCTCATTAATTTCATACAATGCCTCCCTATTGGCCTAAAAAAACCCTGTCTGTAGTACAAGCTCAAAATTTTAACTAACCTATTATGACTATTTTTTTTTCTCTGTTAAAAAAATTGTTTAGATGCAAATAATTCCATTGCCAGGCAGTGGGTACCCCAGCATGCTGCTGATAATAAAAGAAAATCCTAGTGGTATTTAAGGTATTATTCAAGCAAGAACTCTGTCAGCCCACTACATACAAATTCATTTCCTCAGTTACTATATAATTCCCCAAAACCAGTACTTTATGATTTGTGTAGCAACAGAAAAATATGGTTAGACTGCCTTCCTCAGCTAAAAAGTTAATATTCACTGTTAGCTGAGAAATTACTAGATCGAGTCTAGCACAATGACTACATGCAAGGCTTCACACTTTTCATGGTTGTTTATCTATCTTCTCTACCTCTTAACAGAAGAGTCAAATTATCCTACTACACAGTACCTCTGAATGTTGCGCTTTGCAGGGAATTAAAAAGAGAGCATTTCTCACAAATAAAGAATGATAAGGTGTCTTTTTTTTTTTTTCTTCCTTGATATCATCTTGAAATTTCAATTTTAGGTTGCTAATGACTTAGAGAGGAGTTGAGATGTATAAGCAAATTTATGATCCTACCAATGGTCATTAGGAAGTTGCTGAGCTACTAGTGATGAACATAATCACAGGAGTCAATGATAGATAAAGCTGGACCACAGGCATTTTAAATCTTTATTCAATGCCAGTGCATACACTTTGTTGTTGGTTAAACCTAGACTGCAGGCAGATAAATGCAATGCTGAACTTTAATAACACATAAATGTGCTGATATATAAAGTCATCATGTTGAATGATCAAAGTTTCATAAAATTGCACTGTTGCTTCTTTTTAAATCAAGAGATAAAACTGTGACTGTATATGTGTTTGTATGTATAACTCAGTAAAAAGGTAACAAATCACCAACAGAAAACCTGTAACAGTTTATATGTGACTACTATACACGACCTGTTATACACATGTATTTGCCTTCTTCACATTCAGCCTGCCACCACTGCTATCCATACCTTCATGTCATTGTGAACTCTATTTCTGCAACACAATGATCCTTGTGAATTAATAAACCATGAACTTCAGCAACTACGTTCCTTTCCTGGTTCTGGCACTTAAAACTTAGCCATATCAACATTGAGTGCCTACTTGTGAACCTAGTCCTTACTACATAAGTAAACTGGATTCACAAAAATATGGAAGTTAGTTATTCACTCCCGCATGCACCAAAATAACTAGAACCTATTCAGTTTAGCAATCAAAGGAAGGAGTCATCAACCAGCCATTTCTATCTGTATTTAAAAAAAAGAAAAAAAAAAAAAAGGTGCAATCTTTAAAATTCAAGGATCTTATAGACATTAATGAAATATCATTAAATATTTTAAACTTTCTGTAAGTTGATATATTTCAATGTTCGCAATGGAAAACCTATATTCACAAATTTTAATTTTGCAGTGTGAGCCTTGAAAGTTTAACTGAATACTTGCTAAATTGTGTTCTGGTTCTAAGATGTGAATTTTATTTCAAAATTCCTATATTCTGGAAATAGAAAGCACTAATAAAAAGTAATTTCACATGGCAAATCATCAATCTCATTCATGTCATTGTGTCCAATAAGGTGGAAATGATTACACAAGGTGGTAAAATCTTTGCTCCCTGTAAGTTGTTAGTTTTATGCTTGTTTTCTCTAAGTTAGGATCTGATACCAGTAGTGTAGGGATCAGTTTATATTACTCAATTACAATAGTGACTTGAATTTCATAAAGTTATATGGGATTACCATGCAATTGTTTCATTCATGGAGGTATCAATGCCATCCAAAACTCCTCTTTGCCTCTTAGCATATTTCTTCTCATGTTCAGGTATGTGCTATAAAAACAGACAAAGCTATTTCTGGCAAATAGACAAGCTATGCAAAAAAAGAGTTCTGTAACACTTCCATTAAAAACCTTCCCCTTTCTTACCCGTTCTGTACATACTACAGGAGTCAATTGCCAAGGTAAAACTCAAACCTCCTTAGATCAGTGGTATACCTTACTGGGGCCCCTCCAGCACAGAAGTTTCCTGACCCATCTTTTTACCCTTCCTTGGAGGTCTGTAACAATTTCCTATAAATGTTTTACTACTTCTTTTAGTTACATTTTGTGATTGTCACATTAGCTAACCCACATATGTAATTTTACTCAAAATACCACAGCCTCTAACTAGATCACCACATCACTTCCCATCTTCTAAATTTGTCCCTTTTTTAAATTCTATACTCTGATATTTTTATATTAAACCACTTAACTAAGATTGTTGTGTTTCTACTGTAAATGTTTACTGTTTTGTTCTGAAGTATCATTTCCTCACACTTTTACTCAGATTCTCTTCAAAAGTCAATATCCTTTCTCTGGGCAATGCTTTCATTTATTCACTTCAACAACTTAAAAAATTACTTATCCTTTAAAAGTTGGCTAATCTCTCTCCCATCTTTCACTACCTACCCTTTTGCTAAAACAACACACATAAAACTGAATACTAAAATTACAAGGCTACTTCCCTGCTAATTTCTTACACAGATATGGCCTGTCAGTTCTAGATGACTTTGGATCAGCCCCAAACAAAAGAAAATATTCTGGGTAGTATAATCCTGCACGGAACAATGTGATCTGTGTAAAAACTCACTTACTGAATCACCAGCACCTCTTTCCACTCTTAGGAGCTCTCCCATTGAAGCAATGCCTGAATTAGTGCAGAGTGATTTGTGGCTTTCCAGCTGTCATTCACTCTTAGGAAATACAATACACAATACAATAGTACTCAGCCTGAAGTTGTAGTCTGCAGTGTCTTAGGAACAGTGCATTTTGCCTGCTAAACTTGTTTTCAAACAAGAATTGTAGCCCATTATTTCTATAACCCCTCAAACACATTTCATTCCTGGTGAAATACTCTGTTGGTTGCACAGACCCATAAAGGAGGAAGGGCAAGGAATTGCTTCTGTTAAGAGTCTGGTCTATGAAACAAACGACTGAGCTGAAGACAAGGGGGTTTGCTCCAGTACTTTGCCATTCATGCATCTTTGGCAGAGAGAAAAGTACTGGCAAGCCTAACAGCAGGGGCTAGAAGTGACCTGGGCGCTCTGATCTACTGGCTTGGGCACTTTGCTATCTGCCTGACTTGTAAAAGTTGCCCTGTTTTACAAAGAGTATTGCTTAGCCATAATTCACCACTAGAGCTGCCTTGTTTCTTTGACCAGAGACAGGAGAGGATGTTGTGAGGTGCGGGCCGCATCTGAGGATCCAGGAGCCTAGGGACCTACCTTCAGAGCGAGCCAAGGAGCTGACTGAACAAAGCCAGTCACAGAGACTGTGTAATGCCTGCTTCATCAAGGACTTTTGGAAAAATCTATGACAAGTTCAGCTCAGCCAAAACCACCCGACCTTTAGACATGCACTGTAGCAGAACTTGTGCACAGAAGAAAGTTTTCTGGTGGGTCTCAGGCACCCCTGGCTTCCCAGAAAACTTAGAAGGCTGGATACGTTTTTTTTAGGTCTATTGCTCTCTTGAATTTACACGTTAATTAGCCTGAACTGCACATTAATTACCTAAGAGCTTTTTCTCCTTTAATTCTTATACAGTTGATTTAATAAGTAAAAAGACAGGACCAGGAGGTAAACATGAGAAAAAAATCATAACAAATACTGGGGTTAACAAAGAGTAGCCATTGTTTAGTAGGCACCATGACAGCAATTATTTTAAGGAAAGATTTGGAAAACAATGCTTCAAGTATTTTTATGTTGAACTCCTCCCATGCTCAGGGGTTTTCATGCTTTTAGCTATTACATCTGCAACTGAAGCTAACTGTGAAACTAGCAATTAATTTATCCCATGGTACATATACACGTATTTGCAACAGTAAAAGTGAGTAAGGGTGAATACTAAACAGTGTGAGTAAAAGTTTGAACTTTTGTACCACATTTTGTCATTCACTGTTTAATCAAATACCTGCAGACTCCCACAGTGAAATTTTCCCTGTTTCTTCTTGTCGCTTAAATCACTAATGCTGTTAACACTCTGCTGTTATTTTTAAACAACATACAACAATCAAAAGGAAGCTGACCTTAAAAATGGCTGCTTGAATTGCCAGGAAGCAGAGAATGCCATGAAGTATAAAATAGAACAATAAAGGCCTACAATTTGTAAACAGCTTTTGATCCTGTAACGTTTAGCAAAAACAAGTCTCCTTAGGAACACATGTACACATTAAGACATTTTTCAAGATTTTACCTTTACAAAAACTACATTAGAACTCACAGTCTGTTTCTTGTATCGTGTTCTATTCTTAAAAATAGACAAACACAAAGGGAAAAATATCTCTTATAGAAATTAATTATTTCTGATTATTTAGCCTCAGATTTGAAAGAAGACTAAATATGAGATACAGTGTTGCTAATCTTATTTGGAAGACATAATTGATAAAAAAGCATAGTGAGGACATGTTAACAGTGCTAAAATTATCTAGAGCACTCTGTTCATGTACATAATTACCAATAATTTAAAATTATCCATCTGAAATCAATTATTCATTATTCTATTTTATATTTAGAAACCTCTGCAAAATAGAAATTTTACTGAACAAAAAGCATACAGATGTTCCTAAGAAAAGTGGAACCTGAGGCATGAGAAAAAAAATGTATTTTTTGTCCTTCTTTCATCTGAAATCAATGGAACATAATAATAATAACCGTTTCTTAGTGACTTGCATGGAATTGGAGGTAATAAATAGATAAGGACTGAAATTTTCTGATAAAAGCAACTGCAGTAATACCTGTAGACAATCTGATGTCTAAGCAGTACCTCCTGAAAGTTTAGTGAGTGCATTTTTCCACTTCTAATGATTTCTTGAAGGGTGAGGTGGTTTTTTTTAAATTATGCCTTTGAATTAAACTATGACTACTAGTATCACATCTATAAAATGACAGCCTGAGTTACCTGTATGGCTGTGAGGATATTGGCTAATGCCTGGCCATATGTGTCATGACAGTGAACAGCAAGAGCACACAAAGGAATTTCTTTCATAACAGCTTCCAGCATTCTTTTCATGCTTCCAGGAGTCCCCACACCAATTGTATCCCCCAGGGAGATTTCGTAACATCCCATACTGTACAGCCGCTTAGATACCTGATTAGAAACACAGAAACACAAAGAGGCAGAGACAAAAGAATATAAAATAGGATTGAGAACATGCATTAAAATGGACATACTTTGTAAAGGTTTCAAGTTTTGATCCACAAAAATAGACTTATGTATCAGAAACCCTCTATTCATTCTTGAAAATTGTCACCCAAAAAGAATGTCCCATAGATCCTCTCATTTTAAATTTATAGTTCTCCGTCCGTATGTGGAATAACCAACCAAGCCAAAGCCATCAAAAACTTGCTTTTTGACCCTCCCACATAATCCAAATAAGCAAGATTTTACACTATGAATTAAATTTCTGTCAAGTTCTTTCTCAGCATATTCCTCTCTCTGGCAATTTCCCAGCTGTTTGGTTTTCTCTGTGTACTTTTCAGCTTACAAGTTGTGCAGGGTAAATACCTGCCCTTTTGTTTGCTTATTACATGGGGCCAAGCACATGGCTGAACTAAGACAATAAATAATTAACAAGAAGCCCTATTTTGTTTTTTCTTGGCACTGAAAACATCAATGAAAACTAAAGTTTTAACATGTTGCAGTTAATATCAATTTTGCTTTACTTTTCATGAATCAAACATTAAAATACTAACAGAGCAAATCTGCAACTTAACATTCTAGTCTTTTAGACTTAAAATTTTACTTAATACAAAAAAAAACCATATAGAAATAGTTCTTATTTATGTAGGTAGAGCCCTAAATGTTTCTGGAATTACATCATTGAGGAGTTCTTTGTATGAGTAAAAGATCTGAGGTCTGGCTCCATAATATTTGTTTGGAGAGAGACATACACTCAGAAGCACAGAATCATGTTTGCAACAAAAATATTGCTTTAGAAATGAGGAATTTTGAAATGTAGGATCTTTCCATCTTACTTTTGTTAAATTTATTTGGAAAGGGTTTCATCTTATTTTCAGTTGCTGAATATGTTTATTCCCTTTAGGATTCCCCACTGTGTACCAGTGATCCCAAAAGGCCACTACACTGGAACAGAGTCCCAGTCTGGAAATTAACTGTTTAAAAATGCAAAAAAAAATACAACCCTTTTCCAAGACATCTTCAGTTGCACTGCACTCTACTGTTAAAGCAATTCCAGGACTTCATCAGTGGGATTGCTGTGAATATGTCTGAGGAAGCTGACAAAGTGCTGCACCAGCAGTCTCGGAAGTGCTGGATTAATATTGCTGCTCACTTAATTCAAAGAACAGCTGAAAAAGAATTTCAAGGAGTCTGAATTATCCTGCTTAAAGCTTGGAAGTGCTATGGCTATTGCAAATGCAATATTAACTCTTTGTGCTTTAAAGTCGAAGAGCCCCTGGATCGTATCACCATAAATTCAATATATGCTTTAAGAAAGGGATATTCACCAGATTGCAAGAGGGGATTATAGGCCACCACATATTTTTATATCTTCAACACATGGCAAGTGTTTTAACTGGACTACTGTTGCAAGAATTAAAAAAGGATCATCTGCAGCTAGTGGTGGATTACCTTTAGTTAATCACCAAAACTCAGGTTTTAAGATTGGGATAAAGGAAGCCAGTTGCACTTTTTTCTCATGCTCTTTTTAATTAATGAGTCAAAGTTTTTCTATATGAGAGTTACAGCAATGACAAAGAGACCACATAAACTGCTAGAAATCATATTGCATTCACCTCCATTCCATGCTCAGTCCTTAAGTCTTTCAGCTTTTTGAAAATGAAGTTCTGAAAGATGAAAGAAGAGAGGGGGAAACTGCTAACAAGCTGAGCATCATCACTGACTTGTCATGATCTAACCTTAAACTGACCCTTAAAAAGATATCTATATTTCATTTCAAGAAGAATGTGCATGCTTGGAAGCTGAATGGGAGTTTTTCATACTGAATTTTCTACCCTACCATAGTAGAAGGCAGCTCATTAGTTATAGTTTTGTAAATTCTCAATGTGAACTTTTGGGAGGAGGGTGGGAGAGAAGAGAACACACTGTTTTGCCAGGGTAATCAGGATGTGATTACCAGCTTGCAGCTTTGTTGACTGAACAGGGTTGTGTTCTGCACCACTGAGCAGCTTTACTATGCATGAGACTCGTGCTATTCCCCTTGGGAACGCTGCCTTGACACTAAGCATTGATCAAAATGGAAGTTGGTGACCCAGCAATGCAACCTCTCAGGTATAGGAACAATCCTACTGCTGGAAATAATATCTAAAGCTATACTCTTTAATAGAATACAAAAGGTCATAATCCAGTTACAGATTATTTTAAGCAAAAAAAAAATGTAAAACAACACTGTAGTCCTTGTGCTGTAAGGGAAACTTTGATAGCCCAACAATACTCAAACAAAAAAAAAGGGTAGGTACATTTTCTGTGGCCTGATCAGCCTGTATGATGAGCAATATTTGAATGAATTCACTGCTCTAGGTTAAACAAAAGCTAAGGAGAGAAAGAAGCAGACAGAAAACTAAAATCAGCCAAGTATACGACTGGAAGACAACGAATAACACAACTGGCTTCAAGGATGTTATACAGTGCTTCCAACAGCTTTCAAGCCTTATTTACCTAAGGTTGAAATTTACAAACCAGAGGATGATAAATGGTTAAGCGATGAGTCCATTTCAAGCACTAACAGTGATTATAAAGGATTATGCAGTTTTGCTTAAGAGATCAGAAATGGCAGGTAGGGGTGACAATAAAGAAGCATACGGATAAATCTGATTCTAGAAGCCTGAAGGCAATTGAAGTTTGCACTCACTAGATAACTATGTGTAAAACAGTTATGGATCTAGTATGCCAGAAATGCATGTATTCTGGCTAATAATCCACTTCTCCTAATTGCTTTTGATTCAGTCAAAAAATTGTCGCTGTTACTGGCTGCCAAAGAAACAATCTAAACCTTTCATTTGTAGCTGATTGCAATGCAGAGTCAAGAGAGTCAAAATGCTCCCATGCCAAGAAAAAATGATGACCCGTGTGGCAGTTCTCTGTAAGAATTTAGCAACATGGCTAGTAATTTTGATAATTCTGATTCAGCAAACGATGAGTGCATGTGTTTACATAAAATCCATTAACAGCTCACCAGATGCTTCTATATAAACAACAATGCTTGCTGAATCAAGGCCTGAATTATTAACTCTCATGAGGTAGCTTTTTTTCTTAAACACATACACACTGATGTACAGGTATATGAGAAGACACTCACTAGGATGAAGACAGAAAACAGCTCTGTGAGGAAAAGTTTGCAGGTTTGGAACATTAAATAGCATTGCCACTGGCAAACTGAAAAGGAGCTCTACTGTATATGGGTGGTTGTTAGTTTTAAAACACAAGCAACACATGGAAAAAAGCCTATTGGGGAACATGATATTGCAGTAAGCAATTTACCAACAGCACAGCTGAATCTGTCATCACTGCTCTAACCAAAGCTGTGTCACTTCTAACTTTCACTTCAGATTAAACCCAATTAATTTGGAAATACTGAGTACCTTCCAATTTAGCTATTTTATTCAAAGAGTGTGACTATATGCGGTTGTTGTGGGAGAAGTATTATCACAAGTTTCATCTGGAATGTATACTAGAAGAAGATGCAGGAAAACATGACCTGAAAGCCACACACACAGAACACAAATGCTGCCTAGCTTCAAGTACCAAAGAAAAAAAAAAAAGTGGTTTGAAGATTCTGCCAGATCACAACAAATAAGTGATTAAGTGCAACAGAGAAGACAAGTCTTTCTCCAGGATGGAAGGCCACTGTGCTCTGCTGTGTGCTTCTTGAATTCTGTCTCCACTTTCTTCTTTACTGTCCATTTCAGATTTAATGCCCCCTTTGCCTTTCTGCAAAATTTAACACTTGGGTTTCACTCATGTCTTCCTCTGTTAGGAATAAATAAATAAATAAAAGCTGGATTAAGACATCTTCCTTCTCTTTTATCCTAAACGGGAAAAGAGAGCAGGGAGCAAAGGTACAACTCCATCATAGCAGTATAGCAAGTTAAGAAATTATGTTGGGGATGAGTTTTGGTTCATGTGTCAATCACGTGACACTCACCAGAAGCACAATGTTGCAGCAGTGGCTCTGCCAGCTGACAGCCCAGTATGCTTATGCCAACATAAAATGGATTTAAAAGCAGATACCTTTTGCAAGAGGTGGTGCTGGAAATCTTCTCATACAACATGGTCCACTGACAGATGTGCTTGAGTCTGTTTCCTTGAGCATTTCCTAACCTTCTTGTTGGAGGAAACAGCACGTATTTTTTTTCTCATGAATGATAACATTCAAAATATACTATTTTCCTCAGATGTCACTGCATCTGGTTGAGTGAGGTTATGAACCCAGTTTTAGCATTAGCTATATTTTGTGTTTGTTTTCCTTAAATTCTGTCCATTAAAGATCTTTTAAGATTAGGTAGAGAACATTACTTATAGACATCTTAAATGTATTTTTGATTCATTAAAAAGACAAGTCAGAAGTTCACTCTTACTTCTGCCACTTTAGCTGGTATGATGTTTCCTTCATATGGGCATCCCAATGCACATGACACATACCTAAAATAAAAAGAACACACGAAGATAGTTCTGTTTTATAGATGCACATCTGTGCCTCTCCATGCTACATTAAACCAAAAAAAATATTAAACATAATTTTGAATATTTAAGCCAGTCAATAAAGATTTGAATGAAAAGTTAGAATTACATCAGATTAAAATAGAAGGTTTATCCATTTTTGTTTTAAAAAATAGAACAGATTTATAGCTTTCTTTATGCTTAATGTATGTCACAAGTTGTAAAGGACTGGCAATGCAGCCAACCAAACGCGGCTGCAGGAGACTTCAATTTTTCTTGGCATTTCCTTCTGAAGTTCTAAGAGCCAGCTCAAGTTTTGCCTTGCCTGGCCCACACTAGGCATCAGAGGAAAATACCACTTTCTTCCTTGTACTAGCTACTCGGATCCTAGAGAGCAACACATGGACCCAAGCAACTTATAACAACCCCATCATCTCATAAGCCATTAGAATTGTGATGAACAGGGTAGCTTTCAGCCTCTCCCTCTGTACTGGTATTTCTGTCCCAGTCTCCCAGAAGAATCACAGCTCCATTGCAAGCTGTAGTTCAGGTACACTTTGGGAAAAGAAGAAATTGAGAAGCCAGACTCTGTCTCTCAGCAGCTGTTGGTTTCACAAAGCTCAAAACTCAAAAGCCAAACCGAGCCTCCATTGCTGAGTCCTAATGCTGTGTTACCATAGAATTTGGTTTAAATTTCCCTCTTTTAATGACAATTAAGACTCATGAAATTCCAGTTAAACTTCTAATTGTTTATCTTAAATTGATTAGGAATAGGACTAAACTAACTAGAAACAGCCATTGAAACTCAAAATAAAAGGGATTTACAAAAGATTCAGAGGCAGGCAGAGCCCCAGTTCCAGTGGGAGGTAGCTCAACTGCTTAATAGAAGAATGAGAGCCTTCATCAAACCCCCATCATTCCCCTTCCCTCAATACTGAAGAATATAATGCAAAATTATACACTGTATAACACAAATGGGATTGAACCAATGCTAGTTTGTAGGTAGTCAAGGTCTGTAGGGTAAAGTATATATTATTTCTTTGCAGTTGAAAGAGAAACTGATAGAATGTAAAATTAGGATGCATAATAGGCAAAAACAAATTGTGACACAAAAAAAAGTCAACAATTTAATGCACAGAATATATCCCATCCCTTACATGAAGGTATGGTGTTGGCACACTGGAAGCAGCAATAAGAATGAAGCAAAATTTGACCTCAAGGAGAACTTGATTAGCCCTGACAAAGAAATGCAAATTAATTTTGTTGCCACAAAAGTGGTTGGGTCCATTACATCCTGCTCATTTTAGTCCAGATGCCTACTAGGCATGATTTCAATTATCCATATGTCATTATGAAAAACAGGTTTTTGAGACTTGGCCACAGACTTTATTAAATGTCACCCCCAATTTAGATGCCACCGTTTAAGTTTCAAAATCCTAAATTTTCTTATCTACATTAAAGATTATAAAGCAGCTACTGTTAACAGTTAAACACTGCCCTGCTTTTCAATGACACATAACTCAAAACAATTCAGGATAATTTCCCTAATTTTTAATGCATACACAGTTTTTCAAATGAAACCAAGCATGAAAACTTTCAGACCCAAAGGACTGCTTTTTACATAATCGTACAGTGCCTAGAGGTAGTGAATACACAGACTTTTACTGAAATTATTTTGCAACATCAGCCACAGCACTTATAAAGTAAGAACAATACTACATACAAAGTAAATGCAAAACATACAGTGAGTATCTGCACATGTTCCCTTTAATTACACATATCTTTACATGTTCCTAGAGGCTACATATGTTAGATCAAGAAGACGTGCATTTGGTAGTGATAATGTGGCATGAATGACATCTGGAATTGAGTAGGGTGAACAAAAGTAAAAGCAGGCCAAAAGGTATCTAGAGAACAAGAGAATACTCCCTGTGGTTCACACCAGTGAGCAGAAACTTGCCTGAGCTCACATAATTCAGCTGGGCTTGCTGGGGTATGAAAGTATGCGGTGACCTGAGGAATCTGCCTACTATACTGTACAAATCTGTTTGAGATTATGAACTCTCTGCATGCTTACACTGTTGCAACTAGACTGACATTTTAAACAAGGAAAATATGACAGATATAATCTATCTTGGTATCTGATATTCAATATTAAACTGGAGAAAATTACGATTACTGAAGGAATGTGACAGGTAAAGATCTTCCTACCAGAGAGAGAACAAAGTCCTGTGAAAGAACTGCTTTTCAGCAGAGTTCATCAAGGATGAGCTTGTCAGAATTTTATCTAATTCATTTAATGTATTGGCATAAAAAATGGAGTTGTGGTGATAACATTATAAATTTCTCAGTACTGTCAATACAAAAAACCCCACAGGGAATCCATGGAGAAAGGACCGGAGCACTAGAAATGGGACTCAGCTGATGACAACAAAGAAAGTGAAATGCTTAAAATGAGGCTGTAAAGAGTAAAATACACTCCAAAAATATATCAGCACAAGCATTTTTAATAGAGGATTAAAAGTATTAATTCCATTTGAGAAGGTCTTGCTATATTTTTATTGGACAAGAGATACAATCTGAGTAATTAGTAGAAAAAGTAATGCAAACTGGAACAGACGCAGGGAAGGGCTGAGTACAGCTAGCAGGGGTACAGACACTCTATATGAAAGGAGAAAATATGCATGCCTGTGAAAGAGGAAAGATAATTATGTGTCCAGCCTGAGCACTGTCAAGACACCTAGACTTTAGGCAGCACCAGGTGGGATGCTTTGTAATTACATTTTTGTGGTTCCGAATTAATAAGTTTAAGTCAGAGGAAATAATTTGAGCAGAAAGGCAGATCTGTTATCTACAGATACGTTTGGCTGTTACATTTTCTTTTTTGTGTATGTAATAACTCATAAGGCATTAAAAGCACAATAAAATCAGCCAAAGTAGGGTCCCAAGATCTTCACCCATACCCCTTCAAAATGGGGGACAACTTTGAAGAACATGCTGAAGAGCTACTTAGGAAGAAGCAAGCTAACAAGACAGAGCCACAGAAAGCAACAGAAGACATAAGTTTAAAGAAGAGTCTGGTCAACTGCAGCAAACACTACCGACAGGTCAAGAAGAATGAGGATAAGACTACTGTTTCTGAGATCTTGTCATCAGGGAGTTTGGTGAGAGCTGTTGCAGTTGCAAGCAAGGAACAGAAGCCAAAGTGTAGGAGTTACAGGAGGGAACCACAGAAAGGTCTCCAGAGAGTAATTATAAACAGCGCCTTCAATGAAATTTGGAATGTAGAAAAGACAGGCGATGAAATATGATATGAAGAACCAAGTAGGGTCAAAGGTGCAATTTTTAAGAGACAAATGCTTACTTATATTGCAGTGGAAAAGAGTCAGAGGACAGAGAGGGGTTAGGAAAGAGAATAAGGGGGGGGGGGGGGAGAGGGAGAACAGAACATGGGGTCATTTGGGCAAGTGGAAGGGGTACAGATGGCAAGTAGACAAGAAACTCCTGCTGCTTTGACAGTGGAGGAGAAAGAGAAAGGATTAGGGGAGAGCAAGAAGACAGTGACAGAGGGAAGAGCATACTGTTATCTATTTTTCCTTAACAGAAAACACAAGATCCTATGTGAGGAAAAGCAGCAGAGGGAAAAAGAGGGAAGAGTTTGAGCCATGAGTTACAGAGGCAACTGGGATTTAATTTGGGGATTCAGTTAAATTGGAGAATACAGCTGTTTTCTAAAAAGATGGCAGGACTAAAAGACAAAAAGACACTGTAATGGAAAAGACTCTCTTGGTCTCAGGATGTTCACCAGAGACACCCCACAGTACAAGAGCAGAAGCAAGTATCTGGAAGTTCACAAAGCAGACTCTGCAATGGAAGTGTTTAATTCTAAGTATGTGCTTAAATCTTTGCTGAATCAAGGCCAGACATGTTAGCAGCTTAACTGCATCTTTAGCATGCAATCAAGAAAAGAGCCCATGCAACCAGAGGTGGAAACAAGGACCTGCAATAAGTGATCATATCTATAGAGCTGCTTTAGGAACATGAGTAAATGCTGTTTTGCTCATTCACGTTCAGTGAAATCAGAATTCCTCCCTTTGATAAAAAGAATTACTCTACTTATTTGACTTGGCAGTTTATCCAGTCTCTTGCCTGTTCTGCACTGCAGGTGAGTATTGTTTGGTCTTCTAAATTGTTTTCTATGTATATAAAAACAAAAAAATAAACTCCCAAAACTTTACTGTGTAATATTTTGGACAAAAATGCTGAACAGCCTCTGGGGATGGGGAGGGAGAAGGAAGAGGAAGAAAGTTTTCAATTTCTTCGAGTAAGCCAAAACCAAATCACAATGTTCCACAAATGGTATAGACAGTATAAGGTCCCCATGATCAAGGTCACTAGGAATGGTGATAATCACCACAGCAGCCCAATGACTGTGAAGTGCAGGATATAAAACCACAAACAGGCTAAATGAGCAAACATTTCATAACCAAAGTGTGTTAAAAGGAAAATGAATCTAAGCAGAAACTGAACTCCATGTTGTAATCAGCCCTTTGTCAGCTTGTTTCAGCAAGCGTTCCAGAGCCAGACCCACAGCTGCTACCACAGCTGGAAGCATGAAGCCTCCTGAGAAGCCAGTTGCAGACTCAGATGCTGCTGTTTCCTGTTTATTATTATAGTGTAAGTTCGCATATAATTTACCATGTTCGCTGCAGATGTATTTATTTTTATTGGATGTTCGTGCTAAAATGTATATGCCTATCATTTGGTGAATTCACATTATCAAGATTGATATATACTGTCTCTTTGCAAAGGAAGCCATTTGTTAAAAACCAGACAATCTTTACTGTAAGAAGAGCGGAAATAAAAAGAAGAGGGGAAAGAAGATTCTTCCAGAAATAGAATCTCCAAGCCAAGCTTAAATGTGTAAATAAGGCCAGGATTTTTTTTCCACATTTGATTAAAAACAAAGAAAAAAAACAACA